GAGGCGGAGCCGCCGTCCTCGTCCCCCGCGGTCCCGCCCAGCGCCGGACTCGGTGAGTGCTCGCGGCCGCCGCCGCCCGGGTGGGCTCTGGAGGGGCGGGCGCTCCCGGGCGCAGGTGGGAGGGGTCCTCGGCCGGAGCCCAGATCCCTCTTTTCCGGGTAGAATCCATCGGGCGTCTCCAGCCGGATCCCACCTCCTTGCGCTGTCCACAGGGGGGGTCCCCGGAAACGTGCCGGACAGGGCGCCGACCCCTCCGCACTGCCCAGGAACCTCGCGTGCGTCCTCCTGGGCCCGGGCCAGGGCGCTGCCGTAGTTCATTCTGAAAGAAGAAACTTGGAACAGCGAGAACAGAATTTGCTCAGGTCCATTTAATGGGAAGAAAGAGGACAGCTCCTGGCATGAGAACGTTTGCTCTTGCAGGGACCAACTTTTCTTTCCCTTAAAGCCCTCCTGGCCCCTCTCCCAGGTCCCTCTCTTTTCCACCCACTCCCAACTGTTGAGGCTGCTTAAGGGAGTAGGGGCTCAGAGCTGCCCAGAATTCGCAATGAGCCAAGTGGGAATGCAAATCCCCTCCCTTTTTCCTTTTGGTGAATAAAATAAAGAATATCGGTTTTTGAAACATTAGTTTCTGATTGTATTTCCGGAAGATAAAAATAATAATGGCAGAGCTAAGCCCAGTGTTGAGGGTTTTTTGTTTTTCTTTTTTTTGAGGTCAGTGATGATGTTTGTAAGACAGGAAAAGAGGAATATTCAGAACCTCCCCAGGCAGGGTGAGTGCCTTCAGAAGCCTTTGCCCAGGGTAGGGATTCCTGCTCTAGAACCAGTCACGTCTCCAGGGAGATTGCTTCATTTGCCACCTGCTTGCATTAAGGCAGCTCTAGAACGAGAAGATGGTGGGCGAGGGGAGGGCTGATGGGGGAAGATGGTCGCACATCTTCCTGCTTGGCCACTCCTTTAAAAAACACAGATCTGATGCTGTCATTTGTTTACTTAAAAAGTCCCTCCCTCTCCTTTTCCCATGGGATGAATGAAGCCCAAAATGCCTTATCAGGTCATGCAAGGCCCTCGACAGTCTTTCCTCAACTTACTCTTTTACTTTTAGTTTAATCCTTCATGTCTCCTTCCCCTCCTCCCCCTCCCTAGCCTTGCAGAGCTGCTGGACTGCCTCTTCGAATGTTTGGATGCCTTTGCTTGTGTGATTCTCTTTCCTCCCCACCTTTTTACCTGCCAAGCTTCACCTCTTCCTTTAAAACCCCTTCTCATTTGAGAACCTTCTTGAGGGCAGGAGCTGTGTCTTGTTTACCTTTCCATCTTCTGTGGTGAGAGGATTCTCCCTCCCAATTGTCTTGTAGGTCCCATCCCATTTCTTCCCCCTTATGTCTCAGCTTTTTTTTTTTTTACTTCCAGGTACCCAATTCCCAGAGAGAATCTTTCCTGGAGTCCTGCTTTGAGTGCACGCCTAGGCCTTTTAGTATCTCTCATTCCCCCTTTCCTCATGTCCATCCCATCGAGCCCCCATAAGTAGTCAGCAGGCAAGAACTGGCAGATCTCATTCCACTTGCCTCCAGTCTGCTTGACTCTGAAAGGGTCTCTTTTTCACCTCTGCCTGCCTGAAGTGGCCTGGCTAATATATGTGCTCTAAGACATGGTGGGATCTAGCAGGCTGTTCACTGGGTACCTTTTAGCCACTTATTTACCATTTGGGTGAAATTCAGAACCAGAAGAGCCAGTCCTCTGACTTAAGTAGTTCATGTGCCTTCTATTTGTGAGGCGAAGTGCTTGGGATACAAAATAAAAGTGAGGAAGTCTCATCTTTACCTTTGAGGGGGCTCACAGTTTAATGCGGGACAGGTGGATACAAATACATCACAGATGCTATAAGAGTGTAATAATAATAGCTGTTATCTTTTATTTGCCTTGTGACAGGCTATGTAATAAATGCTTTCTACAGATTACTTACTTATTCCTTTCAACAGTCATATAGAAGCTTATTCCTATTTGACACGAGTGGAAACTGAGGCCATACACTGGGCAGATGAGGGAATAGTCAGGATTTGA